TACCGCCTGTACATTGGCAATATGACAAGTAAGTAAGCCGTCTTTTTAAACATTTATCGTTCGATTTTATGTGTTACTTCCCTATCGACGTCTAGCGCCCCATTCACACCAAAGCTTAAGAGCTGTTTTGCTAAAACCGTTTAAAATGTGTTTCTTCAGAGAGGCTGCTTAAACTGATGTATGTCCATTTTAAACTGAGCAAATTTAGCAAATTAACAAGTTAGTGACAACTTGAATCCTATGAAAAACTGTTTTTTAATTCAATCCCTTCTCCCAACTCCACGTAACCTGCAAAGAATGGTTCGTTCTAGTGTATGCCCGTTTGACTGTGTTTTGCTGTTAATTCTACCCATAGCAAGTTGAGTCCGCGCTCCTCCTTGGATATTTTTCTTAAGCTGCTTGACATAGAAAATTCATTGACCTTGGCTTTAGCAAAATCATAAAATTTGAGTATTTATTATTTTGCCAGGTGTTTTTGTATTTGGATATCTGCCCTACTTCGTCGATTCGTAGCTATCGAGTTTGAGGTGTTTTCTTGATCCTAATATTATGGAATTTTGGTATTTATTATTATTTTTTTTTTAAGCAGATTCAACTGTTTCCTCTGACTCCCTCAATCCTCACAAAGATCTCATTTTTGGTACCTGGGATAGAGATCCTGCCCATTGTGCTCAAAAAAGAGGCGGAGGCTGGTGGTATGGCAAGAGTAGTGCTTGTGCTGTTTGGTCGAATCTCAACGGAATTTATCCGCATTGTCCAAAGGAAACCTGGGCCGATATCCATTGGGGAAAATTAGATCCAAACAGTCCCGCGGGTAGCGCCCCCATATCAACTGAAATGAAAATTAGACCAGTGGATCTTTTTTAAAATTTTCTGACGGTAAAGTGTTCATGTATATAGTGATTTCTGCGTCCTCTGATCGGTCGACTTCGCTTTTATTACAATTGTGATTGGCAGATTAGTGATCGAGTGGCCGTCCTTGAATTTGAATGAATTCCGCCAAGGGAACATCATCGTTAACTGCTTCCCTCGCGATCAGGCATCAAGTGCATTTATTTGCATGCATGGTGATTTTGATTCTTTTTTACGAACTATTCATTGTTGATTTGAAAACGCTGCAATTAAAAATTAGTTCGCTTGCTTTCGAAATTAAACCAAAATATCTGTGAATTCAGTTTTTGAATATCCGACAAAGAAATAAATCCGGACCAATCGATGCTGTTTTTAAACTTTAAGAGGTAATTTGCACGACAAGAAATAAAAGGTGTATTTTTTTCAACGCCTTTTAATTGCAGATTTTAAAATGCTTAGAATACGCAGATTAGAAGAAATGACCAAATTATACACAACCATATATAGTTGATCAAATGCGATTTCAGAAAAGAATCTTTTCATCACATCAAGATTAATTCAGAAGGATTTCTATTTATGGAACATTTTAAGCTATTAGCTAAAGTTCCTAAATGTTTTTACTTATTTCTATAGAGTTTACGTTTTCTGATGATTTT